TCTGGGTGAATTTCCGAAATCATTTATATCTGATTTTGGTTTGGAAGGCGGGAAAACTCTATATGAGGACGATACACGGATACAGTTGATTGAAGTATAGGGCAGTTGATGTAAACATCGTCACAAAATGATACGAAATCGTAAATGGACACGTTCATGTTGAAGTTTAAGGATATTGGTAAACCAAAAAATATAGCGTGTTCAGAAGTTCTGGACATTAGCCACGTGACCCATACTTCCATATACACGGCTCAGAAATACAATTTATTGTTTTTAGGCACTATAATGTAAAAAATGTCACATTTTTGTGACTGTGTTAACCATAGCTGCCCAATTAGCATTTTTTGGTTTAAAATATAGTAGATTAGGTCATTCTAACAATTTACAATTATGATAGAACATTTGGCTAAAGGGCAGGGATCGAACGGTTTTAAGGCAATATTTCGTAAACTTTGTCACACTCAGAATACGATACCTCTTTTCTACTGGGAGGTGTCCTCAAAACCCTTTCAACTCATTATTTGATGGTTCTTCTACCAATCATAGCCCTAAAATATGTTGCTTTGAAAAGTTAGCAAATACATGCACTTATTGGGAAATGATGTAAATTCTGTCACATTATATGGAATTTAAAATTTTGGGTGAATTGCCGAAATCATTTATATCTGATTTTGGTTTGGAAGGCGGGAAAACTGTATATAAGGACGATGCACGGATAGAGCTGATTCAAGTTAAGGGCAGTTGATGTACAAATTGTCACAATAATAATAAGGGCAGTTGATATGAAAGAAAATCTATCTAACTAATGCAATGGCTGATGTGACGAAATTTACATTTCTTGACCCTATTTTGAAGAAACATGCCTCGATTAGAATTCAATATTCTTCCAGGAATTATTAGTAGGTTATTATTCAGCAAATCAGAACTCAAGTTTAACAATTCTGAGTTTAATTTTACTAAGTTACCGAGATGTGACGAAATTCACTTTTCCTGCCCCAACAGTATAATTTCAATGTGATGAAAAATGGGCATGGGTTCAATATTTCCTTATCTCTGAATTAATCATTTCAAACTATAATTAGGACTGTTGATGTGAAAGAAAGTGTATCTAAATTTGACAATGACGTATGTGACGAAATTTACATTTCTTGACCCTATTTTGAAGAACCATACCCCGATTAGAATTCAATATTCTTCCAGGAATTATTAGTAGGTTATTATTCAGCAGATCATCAGAACTCAAGTTTAACAATTCTGAGTTTAATTATACTAAGTTACCGAAATGTGACGAAATTCACTTTTCCTGCCCCAAAAGTATAATTTCAATGTGATGAAAAATGGGCATGGGTTTCTATATTTCCTGTATAAATCCATTCCAACTATAATAAGGGCAGTTGATATGAAAGAAAATCTATCTAACTAATGCAATGGCTGATGTGACGAAATTTACATTTCTTGCCCCTATTTTGAAGAATCATACCTCAATTAGTATATAATGTTACTTTATCACCATCACTATGTCGATAAATTAGTTATTTTGCCAACACGGAGCAAATAAAGTTATAATATTTTTTTTGTGACGAAATTTACAAATTTTTACCCTGTTCAGGTGTTGAAATTTATCCAATGTTAACATATCACTGCCATATAATAATTTATATGACCGGCGTATGGTTGAAATATTGTTAATTGATTCATAGTACGTAATATAGGGTGTTTAAGTTGGTATACTAATATTTACTCAATTTCACACATGTTGAGATATCATACAAATTTATGTGACTAAATTTACCTATTTCTGCCTTCTGTATTTGTATTTGCCTATAACAATGAAATATGTGAACAATTCCAAACACATTCAGCTCACAAAATAATGCTAGACTATTCGGCATTTCTTGTCAGGATGTCATAAACATCCCTCATATAAATTTCTTAAATGTGTGACGGAGTTTACATGGTGCTACCATTTAAGGAAAAAAGTCGCTAAATATGTAGATAATAGTCATATACAGCTATTCTATGAATTGGAAATTCGAAAATTTGGTCAAACACGGCAACAAGGGGTCCATATAAACTCCGTCACGTTTTTATAGTGTGACAAAGTTTACAACTCACTGCCGGCCGCATTTAAGCGATATCTTATCGTCTGATAAAGATATCGTTATGCGACAAAGTTTATCTAGAGGATGAAACGATTATCTTAGGGTTAGAGGGTTTATATAGTTTCATAGTGTGACACATTTTACATCATCGTGCCATTCAGTAGGGTCACTAATATTTACCAATATCCTCAAACTTCAATGAACGTGTCCTTATACGCTTCTGAAGAGCTTTACCTTCTTTGATGAGGCCCTTGATGTCCCCCTTTTCCCAAAGTTTGAGGCGATCTTCAAGATGTCTGACATGGTCCTTTGTTTTAGATCGTTTGGAGGGTTTTTGAAGGAGCAGGGCTGGCATAACCATACGTGCAGTCATGGCCACATTTTGAAGGGGGGAGTTATTAACATAATAGTTGATGACTTTAGAAGTCCCTTTCACATAGGCTTTACCTTGAGCACCAGAAGGAACCTTGAACAGGTTTTTCTTCCACTTGATTATTTCATCATAGGCATTGCCAAATGTCTCTTTAATAAAAGGTCCCTTGAGCAAACCCCATGTTGCGGGTGTTGAGTCAGCTGTCTTCATAAAACTTGGGAAGCCAGGGAAAGCCTCTTTACCATAACAAGAGGAACAGTACCAATATCATTACATATATGGCACACCTTAGTAGCAGATAATGAGGTTGACATATTTCAATATCATAATTAATAATATGCGCGATTACGGATCTTGCGAAAAGGAAGACAAGCAACACGTCAAATGTTTACTTTATAAATTTCATTGGAGTGACTTGAAAAATCCACTTAATTATGAAATGTAAATAAAAATAATAATGAAAACTTATAGATTATAGTTAAGTGGTACAACAACTTAAGTGGTACAACAACTTAAAATGCACAGGTGTGCCACGAAAACAAGTCAGGATACAAAGAAACCTGAAAAGCAATCCCCATTTAGGTTCCAAATCATTTAGGTTCCAAATTTTCCACATTTTTTGATGTAAGGGTATTTCATACCCCAGCCCCCTCCAATGCAAGCAAATCGATCCCAGCGATGTACCAGTCCCATGAAAATGAGAAAAAGCGATGTTACAACGCAAGGGTCGGGTTCTTGAAGTGGAGAAAGGAAGCTTCACACCTTTAGTTTTCTCGACTTCTGGTGGAATGGGTGGTGAAGCTGAAAGACTGGTTAAGAAGCTGGCCAGTAAGATGGAGTACCACACTGTACTGTGCCATATTCTAATTCTTCAATATCTTCAGCAACACTACCGTGCTTAGCTGCATTACAATTAATTTAAGATCATCAGCAAATAACTTAATCTTATTTTTTACAAGGTCAGGCAAATCATTTATATACAGAATGAATAGGAGAGGGCCTAGAACTGACCCCTGAGGAACACCAGATAAAACATGTTTAACCTCGGACCATTGTCCTTCTACACAAACCCTCATAGTCCTGTCTGTCAGAAAATCTTTAATAACATCTAAAACATTTCCTTTGACACCAAAGCCTTCTAATTTAGACAATAGTCTAAAGTGGGGGACTGTGTCGAACGCCTTACTAAAATCAAAGTATAGAAGATCAACCGGGGCACCTTCGTCTAAAATGTCAAGAATATCATCAAATGTCTCTAAAAGATTAGATAAACACGATTTACCCTTAACAAATCCATGCTGATGCTTCGAAATTCGATGTTCTAGAAAATTTAATACATGTGCTCTCACCAACTTTTCATACACTTTGCACAAAATACAAGTTAATGAAACTGGTCTATAAGGGGTCATTCACATATTACGTAATCAATATTTTAGCAATTTTTACCCCCGGCCCCCTCCCCCCTTCCGTAATCAACCGTAATCAAGACCCAACCCCCCCCCCCCCTCCTGACAGCAATATTACGTAATCATGGCCTGACCCCCCCCCCCCCCCCCCCCCTTGACTTTTTTCCTAGAAAACACTTTTCTCTACGTTTCATGCTACCCTGATCATGCTATCAGTATCATGATGAGCCGAAATCATTGCTATGATATCCGGCCAAGCACCTTCTAAACTACTTCCTATAATAGCCGGATATTCGATCAATTTCTAAATTGTATCACTATCAGAGTGAAATTGAGTGGAATTTGAATTAAAATATTGTCAAACTGTTATTATTCTAGAGGGTAAAAAAGAAAATTTTGATTACGTAATCAACGACCGAAACCCCCCCCCCCCCCTGTAATCAACCGTAAGCATTTGGAAACCCCCCCTCCCCCCTCGGCTGATTACGTAATATGTGAACGACCCCTAATTTAAGGGGTCCGATTAAATACCCTTTTTAAATAATGCTAGAACAGATGCAGATTTCCACACTGCAGGTAAAGATCCTGTATCTGAACACTTTTGAAATAATTTAGTTACTGCTTCAACAAAATTGTTGTCATAACCAAAAATTAAAGTTACCACTTGCTGCTTTCATTTTTTGTTGCCATATTGTTACCTTGGAGACTTTTTTCAAATTTTTTGGCGTTCTTCCTTAAATCATAATTAAACTAGAAAACCCGTGGTCACAGGTGACAGGGAGAAAGCTAATAGTATTTTTTGTTAATAAGTTTAAATCGCGTCAAAAAATATCCGTCACAACCAAAGATACAGCCGATTTAAATGTTGCTTGTACTTAACACAGCGTAATATCAACAAAACCGATCAAAATGACGTTAAAACAATCATTGCACGTGCATGTGCGCGCGTGTAATAACTCAAATACCCTCGTTACCGTGGTAACTACGCAAGTTCATATTTCTCATCAAATTTGCACGTGGGCGGTCGTACGTACATACATCAGAAATAATTCTTTGAATTATAGTAGAGATTACAATTATACCCTGTTTTAACTTTCACTTTTCACCACCAATATCCCCATAACTTAGTATGGTCACAAGATGTAGCATATTATATTCAAGACATTAGATGAGAAGTACTATTTATTGATAACAGAAGATGTCGAAATGCCCCATGCCAAATGCCATCAACACCAATCTTAAGTATTCCAAAAAGAACCCCCAGCAGGACATAGAGCTCCTGAAAAAGATTGGGAGTGGAACATATGGAGAAGTGTACCAAGTAAGCTGACAACTTTAATTTAAATCTAATAGAAATACATTTCACAGCTATATTAACTTCACCTTCCTTTCTTAATATCTATTATAATTCAGAGATGTTTTCGAGAAATAGTTAGTTGTGTAGTACGCAAGTCCACATTTAATGATAACTCTCACTAGGCTCGCTACATTGATGGAGGGGCAGAGACAGCAGTTAAAATTGTAAAGATAGATGCTGGAGACGACTGGGCAGCAATTCAGCAAGAGGTGAACTTTATTATAAAACTTTATTCAAATAAATAAATTGTATAAACAAATTAAAAATCTGATAAGTAATCTACTAAAACTAAAATAACTTTCTCCACTTAGGAGTTAGGTATGTCTTGGGCTTTAACAACAATATTAACTCTTACTGTATTTACCACAAATGTTTTTAAATGTCTATTTAATCAAGCCGAATTTAGCCAAATTTAGAAAGTCCAAACATGCACTAATTTATTATTTACTTTGGTTTTTACTGTTATCTTGGCAGGTTATCATCCTCCAAGAATGCAAACACCCAAACATTGTGGCCTACATGGGCAGTTACCTCAGTAAGGATAGACTCTGGATCACTATGGAATACTGCAGTGGAGGTAAGTTATTAATCTTTATATAATCTGGTGTATTCGTGTAGTGTTATTAAAACTATTTTAATACTTTAAACACTACTATATAACAAATAATTTGAGAATATGAGTATGACGTAGAAATGTCGATACGTTATTCAGCTATTTATTTCCATTAGAATCTGTCTTCACTGAGTCTATTCAGAAACAATCAGAAATTTGAATAAAAGAACAATCTTTATGTACTTATCAAATATCGGTATTTGTATGCTCATAAAGATGATTTCTCAATAATTTATACTTAATATTAATGATGGACTTACAATCGTCAATCATGTCATTGAAAACTCCTTCTGGTACAGTTATACAATGTATACAATTATATACTGAGTAGTACGAGAAGTACTAAAACACCATTATACGAACATAGTGAAGCACTTGTAGTGACATAATGTATACTTAAATATAACACATAATATGGTAGCATGTGAGAGAGTACCCACAGATAAGAACAATGTACTTATTGTGATAAACAATAATATTATCGTGTCACATTCCACCGGTATACCTCTTTAAAAGAATTGTCTGAAGTGTTAAGTTAGTCGGCTATTAACACCGTTACATAGTAGAAATATGTGCGAATATATGTGTAACTTGCACTTGATCTGTGTGGAAGATCTAGATCATTACTCGAAATTATCTACTCACATTCTAATGTTATCTCTCTTCCTCGCACAGCGTTAAGAAGTTTAACACTTGTGACAGATAACAAGTATCAAGTATAAGTTTTTACTCAGCTCAATTACTTCGTTCCAGACATTTGCTCACTTTATTGTAACTCCTCGCTACCAACTATTCTAAAGTAAATTAACTTTTCATCACAATTTCCGCCTCATTTCAGGCCACTTTTTGAAAAAAAAAGCTGCTCCTTCATAAAACTATTCTGTCAGGTAGTGTGCAGGACCTGTACCGAGTTAACGGACCTTTAAAAGAAGATCAGATCGCGTTCATGAGCAGAGAAACCCTGAAAGGGTTGTCTTATCTCCACATGAGGAACACTGTACACAGGGACATTAAGGTATGTACCATTAAAGGGTCACAACGATACACCTAGAATGCCATGAGCTTTTAACCAGTTGTTTGGTTCGTTAAATGGTATCATTTAGTGAAATTCCGAACACTCTAGCTCACTCACACTCCAAGTTAGGGGCTGATCTAATTACGGCCTAGGGGTAAGCTTGTGACGTAGATATTTCCATAGCAGTAAGAATGATGCGTGTGAATTGGTATTTGTTATTTGGACAGTCCTTGTTCACGTTTTGTTTTTGTTACACGATGTGTCCGATGTGTACAACTGATACACCCGAATGTACTTACTTCTTGAGTAAGAATTATAATAGTTTATATTAAATATATAAGGCAATTAATTGACAGTTAGTGTAACAGTAAGTATAAGATAATGGGGAAAGATACTATTGTTTTATATTTATATAGACAGTTCATGACATGTGGAAATTCGATATTTTTTGCAGATCTCATCGGATTTTTAACTCTTAAAAGGCCTTAGTTTCTGCGTTTATATTAACATAGGAAATAATATTTAAATTGACATATGGAAATAAATCTATATATTAAAATACATCAACTTAAATCCTCATAAAAAATTCCGACGCTACAAATGCTTTGTATTTTCCGTCGTCTGACGGGTATAGAGATCAAATCTTCATAATAGCACATGCTGGAAGGACATATCTCCAATTTTTCCCGATGAACCGTAGTTCGCACATGTTCAAAAAGTTTCTGTAGGCTGCATAACGGACTCCTTCCGGTTTTATGTTCCCTTCTTTTTCGACGGGAATACTTTTCTGCATCATATCGAAAGAGCACATTTGTAGCATCTTTCGGTTTCTGATTCCAGCTGAGAAAAGTTCGCAATCTGTAACACATGAAACTTTTTCAATATCCAATATAATTTCGCTGATATGCGTACTTTCTTGGCAGCAATAACATTCTCCGTGCCCAATACAGCACAATTACCACACTTGCACCAAGAACCTATATCGACTAGTCTAAGGTTGAATTCTTCCTTTTTCACTTCTTCATCTTCATCTGTGTCGCAAGATGCATATATCCATTGGTGCTGAGTTCTGCATCATCCTCATGATCACTTACTTGAATTTTAGGATCAAAACTGATGTCTTGTAAAACTCTTTGATCAGATACCTCTGTTAATGTTTTTAGCAACCATTCCTCATCAGTTGTAACATCATTTTCTGTTCCCAGGATTTACAGCCAAGTACTGCACCTATTCAATAATGCATTGTACAACAAACGAAATTGTAGATTGTTGTGTCATCCAAAGAGGTCAATTTACAGGTGAACTTGAAAAGCAGGCTTGTCAGCTGCTGCTCGATATTCTAGTCAACGAGATCAAGTTGGATATTGGTGATTTTGTGACAGACAGACATAAGGGTATTGGAGCTATGATGAAGAACGTGTTCCCCGCAATATTTCACGCATTATATGATGTATGGCACATGGGAAAGAACCTCCTCAAAAAGCTGACAGCATGTGCAAAGAAACACCCTAAAGTTGGATTGTGGACCCGCTCAATAATTCGACACTTTTGGTGGTGTTGTCAGAATTGTAAAGGTAATGCCGATCTCCTCTTAGAAATGTATTATTCCTCGCTGTTCCATCTTCTTAACATACATAATTGGGGAAGAAGAACAGTGGTTCACAAGCAGCCCAGCCTAATGCGTGTTGGTTCACGACCCTATCCTTCTAAACCAAAAACGGTGAAGCAATGCTTCCACCCTCAACTATTGGTAAGAGAAGACAGGGCAACTCAGTGGTTCAGTATTGGGGATGGTGATTCCAAAGCGGTATTCAAAGTGATAACTGCTACCGGGTTCAGCAATGACTGCAAAAAATGCTGTAAGTTTGTGCATACTGGAAAGTTGGAAAGCTTCCGAAATCAACAGGATTCGGCATGACGACCACAATAATCCTCACAATGCTGACAGCAATTCAGAACAATTGTTACCTCGACCCTAATAACAAGCTGAAAATGTATTCTGTCCGCCAGTGGTCACGGGCAAATAAGCAGCACTTTCTTAAAGAAAGGAGCATTTTCGACAATGTCTCATTTAAGAAGAGAATCCTTGAAGAAATATTTGAAAATATCAAGAATAACAGCATCATTAAACTAGACGTATCATCATATATCAGAGCTCCAATTCCTAAAACGTTTCATTGTCAAACTGCGCCATCAAAAGAAGTACTACTTACTAAGAAAAATTCCCGCATGTCATGAACTGTCTATACAAATATAAACAATAGTATCTTTCCCCATTATCTTATACTTACTGTTACACTAACTGTCAATTAATTGCCTTATATATTTAATATAAACTATTATAATTCTTACTCAAGAAGTAAGTACATTCGGGTGTATCAGTTGTACACATCGGACACATCGTGTAACAAAAACAAAACGTGAACAAGGACTGTCCAAATAACAAATACCAATTCACACGCCTCATTCTTACTGCTATGGAAATATCTACGTCACAAGCTTACCCCTAGGCCGTAATTAGATCAGCCCCTAACTTGGAGTGTGAGTGAGCTAGAATGTTCGGAATTTCACTCATTAAATAGTAACACGGTGATCTCCGTATGTGGCGGTAACAATTGGTAATTAATGGAAATGAAATCTCTGTCGTTGTGACCCTTTAATTAAATTGTTGTGTATTTAATTTCTAGTTTATTATCAGTTAAACTTATTTTTCGTCTGACAGTAATATGTAGAGTGATCATGATATTAACGGTGATATGAACTATTGAACATAACACACTGTACCTGTGATCTGTGCTGAAAGACGCCCAAATCCCACACAGCTATGTGTAGAGCCTAGTGTGGGCGACATGACTTTTCTATCTGCAGTGCCATATTTGTTCGATCAGACAATTAATGACACTGGTAAATATTATACTTAACTTTAACCAATGACAACAGTCACTGTATAACATAATATTATAGCATCTGCTACTTCGGCCCATTAGCTGCTACACGTTAATTTATTGGTAAATTATACGATCAACTCACAGAGGAATATTGCCAAGTTGAGTACCAAAACTATTTCAGAATATAAGAATCTCAGTGAGGGGATCAGTATTGAGTATTTTAGTTGTTAATTAAGGGGGCAGGGAGGGGGGGTCTTCATGCCCCTTAAGGGGGTAGGGAGGGGGGTTCTTCATGCCCCCATAAGATACTTGATAACGGGACTTAACTTTGTAACTAGGTAAACATAGAACAGTAGAACGTGGAGAGGTTTGAGATTACAGAACTGTGGTAGTAGTAGTAGTAGTAGAACTGTGGTTTTAAATAAGTTATTATCTAGTTAAAAGAGGCTGGTTTAAGAAACAAGTACATTTTATTAGCAATAAGGACCACATTTTATACACATAATGCTGAATAGAATGAACTTGTGCTACTTATATAACATGAGTGTATTATAATTTATACACTCGAATGCATTCAATGCATTTATTATCTTTGTACATTTATTATCTTTGTATTATAATGTATATAATATATATACATATATATAGTAGATTGTTGTTACAAAGATAATATATGTACATGTTTTTTTTGAACATTTAATAATTCCTGTCACTGGAGTACAAACCAGTGTAGTGTGTAGTGTAGTTATGTGTGTTATGTGTGAAGTAGGAAGTAGAAAATGTAGAAAAGTAGAAATTAGGATGCTACACTGATCTTCTCAACTGGAATAATCGTCTCACTGCTACATTCCACAAGTATTCTGTAATTTGAGTACTGTAAATTACTCTGTGTTACACTGGTGCAGAATGAACCTGTTAGCCTAACCTTACGCAATGTTTTATACGCACTACACTAAACTACACTACATTACATTACATTACATTACATTACACTACACTAAACTACACTAAACTACATTACACTACACCACACTACACCACATTACACTACACACTACACCACATTACACTACACTACACTACACTACACTACACTACACTACACTACACTACACACATTACATTACATTACATTACACTACACTACACTACACTACACTGCACTACACACTATAGAGTATAGACCCACCTACCTAGTACTTAATGTTAATCACAGTGTATATTATTACCTAACTCTTGCTAACTATATCTAGTGTTATATCTAGTGTAGTATTATATCTAGTGTGTGTTATATCTAGTGTAGTGTGTGTTATATCTAGTGTAGTATTATAGTGTAGTGTGTGTTATATCTAGTGTAGTGTGTGTTATATCTAGTGTAGTGTGTGTTATATCTAGTGTAGTGTGTGTTATATCTAGTGTAGTGTGTGTTATATCTAGTGTAGTATTATATCTAGTGTGTGTTATATCTAGTGTAGTGTGTGTTATATCTAGTGTAGTATTATAGTGTAGTGTGTGTTATATCTAGTGTAGTGTGTGTTATATCTAGTGTAGTGTGTGTTATATCTAGTGTATAGTGTGATATAGCTGGTTTGTTATTGTAACTAAGTTTCAATGTGTAAGCTGAGTAGTGCACGTGTGTTATTTTATGTAATCACCTTAATGTACGATATCTAATCTTAATCAGTGTTATACATATGTATATTGTATATCATATGATTATTGATTATGGTTATACCTTTAAATTGGTAAGAGATAAAGATACTGATGGGTTTATGGCTTAGTAGAGTTAAGGTCTGAGGTCAGATAATTTTAGTGCATTAGGTCGTGTAAAATATTTACTGAACACTTTCGAATCAGATTTGTTGTTTGTTTGTTTATAGAACCCGTCCCCAATCTCGTATTGGAAAATGACTAAACTCAGGTCTGAGTGTGAATACGGGTGGTACCTGCAAGAGTGTTCATTAAGCATTTAGAGTTCTGTAAAACTGCAGTTACAATTGTGCTAGAGTATTTTTAGTATATACGATTGGTATCAGAAATATATCCCTACATGCTTCCAAAATTTGTAAAGCCGTAGTACATACATATCACATTACACCAGAGCCTACACAGTGCAATCTCCTCCAGTCTATCTGCGCCGCGTATATTTGTATAAGCACACGGCGCAGACTGGAAAAAACCACACTCTGGTGGTTCCAGTGCAATGCTACATGTACGTACTACGGCTTCATCTCCAATTTTCTGCACAATGTACTGGAATGTTTTGAAGGAAAAGAAAGAACAAAAAAAGTGATATATATAAATAAAATCAGCGATTTAATGTTAGCCTTGGGACAGTAACTTTAATTCCCTGGTTTCTAAAATCAGCTTTTTAAAAAAATAATAATAAAGTATGTAACGTCGATACCAAACCGATTATTGAGCGATAATAACTGAGTAGTTGATTCCTGGGTTGCAGAGTCATTCAGATGTTCCAGTCTTCGAATGTGGTTCTTGTTCAGTTCTTGACCAGAAGTGTCTAATGAAGTAAGTCAGACAAGCAAACTCTTCCTTAAATGCTCATATAAGTCGTCTCAATCCCAGAAATTATGAATGATGACCCAGTGTAAAAGTGCAGAAATCGGCCGAAAATAACAAATACTAAAAACAGTTAAAAAGTGAAAGGATTCAAACACAAGGAAAATTAATAACTTAGAGCGTAATAAGGAATATCTCCAAACGGAGTTTTCTGAGAGGGTGAGAGGTTCTTTAATTAGAGCTAATGATTAAATGAGACCCACTAAAGGTACTAAATTAACCGGACTGCTAGCAAGGAATCGAGAGTGGGAATAAAACTAAAAGCGGAATAAATTTCAAAAAAAAAAAAAAAAAAAAAAAAAAAAAAAAAAAAAAAAAAAAAATAAATTATCAAAAAAAAAAAAAAAAAAAAAAAAAAAAAAAAAAATCAAAAAAAAAAAAAAAAAAAAAAAAAAAAAAAAAAAAAATCAAAAAAAAAAAAAAAAAAAAAACAAAAAAAAAGAAAAAAAAATAAAAAAAAAAAAAAAAAAAAAAAAAAAAAATAAAAAATAAAAAAAAAAAAATAAAAAAAAAAAAAAAAAAAAAAAGAAAAAAAAAAAAAATCAGATTTGTTTAGGTTAGAGTCTAAAAAGATGGATATCTTTGTTAAGGATTATATCTGGAGTATTTCGAAAGTATTTTGGAGATAGGCGGACTGTAAATGTTTAACATGGGACGCGCAAGGCAGCTGCGCGAACTTCACCTTCATCACATGGCTCTGACACTATGATTATTACTTATCAGAGAAGCATTTTAAAAACTATCACTCACTTGCTCCAATGCTGTAGTCTTTTTAAGACTCCGAAACTTTATCAAGGCCATGAATACTCATCTTCTCAAAATGTGTACTCCAATAGTGTTTCCAGTAAATCATGTTACACTTGATAAGCAAGGATGTGATTTAGGTTTCTTATTAATCAGAGTATAAGATTGAACGAGCTATGAGCTATCTCATCGCTAATAACCTGCCTCTTACTTCTGATCCTTCTTTCTTCTCTTACTCTCTCTATTTCTATTTTCACTGAATATACCACACTAAATGTACAAGTTGGGTTTGTAACTTGTAACAAATAAGTTAACCTGTAGTACTACACATGGTACAATTTAGAGTAGGTTAGTTTGCCCTGTTACTAACCATTTGTAACTATGCACACTGTTTGTAACTACGTGCTCCTTCACAAATAACTCTTTCTCAGGGAGCCAACATCCTGTTGACTGTATCAGGAGCTGTGAAGCTCGCAGATTTCGGTATTTCAGCAACCATTACTGAAACACTCGGCAAGAGGAAATCCTTCATCGGGACACCCTACTGGTTCGTGCTTAGTAATAGTAGATAATATATACTGCTGTGCTTATGTAATTATTAGACTGTTATCTGTTTTTGTACGAACCTTAAGTTGGGACACTTTTATTCGGACCGAATTATTTCATAATTTGTAAGATCCTCTACAAAAGTATGTATGACTATTCTCATTATAACCAATGTGGTACTGTACTATTACCACTATTACCACTATTACCACTATTAAACTTTAATATTACCAATATTACCACTACTAAACTGTACTATTACCACTATTACCACTCAGGATGGCCCCAGAGGTGGCTGCAGTGGAGACTAAGGGAGGATATGATCACATGTGTGATATCTGGGCAGTAGGTCTACATCTCACTATAATATAGAAATACAATAATATAATTAGTATAACATGCTTGATATTCCAGTTAACTCAAGTATTGTGTTCAGTGTTGTCTGAAACTGATTCACAGTTTAAATAACCAAGTATAAAACCCAGGTATAACAGCAATAGAGTGTGCGGAGATGCAACCTCCCTTCTACGATATGCACCCTATGAAGATGTTATACATGATGACCAAATCTAGCTACAGATCTCCCACTCTCAAACAGAAAAGCAAATGGTTTGAAACTTGTAACTGTTACTTTCTGATAGCATTATCTATTTTTTATTTCCCATATTTGGGGTATAACAAAGATTCGGTCCACGTTTTTTGAATTTACTACGCTTTGCATAATATCGACCGAATTTATCAAGTTTGCGAAGAATTGAAGAGTCGCACACTCGTTCACTTGGAAGCCCTGTCCTGTGACAGCGTCTTATCATTTTATTGAGATAACTTTTAAAACACAGAATTGTGACGCCAATTTAAGTCTACAAAACACTCACAACCTTAATTAACTAATTGATATTTAATTAACGCTCACAACCTTAATTAACTAATTGATACTTAATTAACGCTCACAACCTTAATTAACTAATTGATATCTAATCAGTTAATTAACGCTCCTCCACAGGACACAGAAATTCCACGCGTTCCTCAAAGACTCGCTAACAAAGAACGCTAAAAGGAGACCTACAGCCGACAAGCTGTTGTTCCACCCCTTCGTCTCTCAGTTCCTTGTTAGTGACACTCTTAAGTCACTTATCCAAGGTACTCAGGCCCAGGTAACTACTCTAGTTTATATATATATATTATATATATATACATAATATATTAATTATAATCTCCCACTCATTATTGGTATTGTTCTATTTTTGACTATTCCCTCAAACGATTCGTCTGCTCACCTATTTCAAGTGTTTCACTTGTTTGAAATGCTCCTGCTAGTCACTTTAACACTTTTCTGAGGAACCAAGCAACAACTAATCATCAATTAATTAATTAAAATTAATTAATTAATTAAATGTTTGTCTGTGTAGATAGAGCCAGAACAGCCAGAAGAGGAGCCCGAACCACCAGCCCCTGAACCAGCTAAACCATCAGCCCCCAAAAGGATAGCCAGTAGGAAGAACGTTAAGAAGAAGACTCCACAGGACCGACCCGAGAGTATAAGTAAGTTAATTGGTTAATTAGTTAATTAGTTAATTAGTTAATTGGTTTAGTAGTTAATTGGTTACTAACCAATTCCCTCGAGTTTAACTGTATAGTTCTATAGTTGACTTGTTATCACACTGTTAACTAGTTGATCAGAACAGCTCCTAGATTATCTACTCCCTGCTCTGATTGTTTCCAGCCATTATCAGTGCACGGGTGGCAGGAGCCATTATCCTAATCTAGTGGATTAGATCAGCGCCCTTTACTGCTATCTAATAGCACGTACATACTACATACTGGAATGTAATTCTAGATTCAGTCTTACAGGGGAAGGTTAGGTAGGACAAATAACGAACATTACCTGTTTTAACTAATTAACACATTATTGCGCTACACTATTATTTAATCTAATAATCAAACATCTAATATTCTAACTCACAGCTAACCCTGATAACTCACAGCTAACTCTATCTCAGTTGATCAAGTGCCGATCCCACAAGCTCCTCCACGTACCTCCTCCCAAGTGAGCACTACAAAAGACGCGCAGCAGCCCGGAAGTGAACCTGACGAGAACAATATCTACGATGATCCGTGGCATTCAATAGACATGCTCAAACCTCCACCTCCTCCAAGTATGTAGTTTGTAGCCCCCCCCCCCCCCAACCTCCACCTCCTCCAAGTATGTAGTTTGTAGCCCCCCCCCCCAACCTCCACCTCCTCCAAGTATGTAGTTTGTAGCCCCCCCCCCCCCCCCAACCTCCACCTCCTCCAAGTATGTAGTTTGTAGCCCCCCACCCCCCCCCCCCCCCCCACAAGTAGACCCAACAGTTATACACTCTGCAGAACATTAGAACTACAACCCGATCTCTTGAGATGACCGCATAGTTCTGAAAATATTTTAACACTTCCTTACTTGACAAGCGACGACAATCAGTGCATACCTTCCAACAGTCCAAATATTTTACAGCTCTTTTACATTGTATCAACATGGCTGGCTCTATAAATATTATGATTATTGCTAAATTTAAACTGCTGTAACTTTGAATCTTGAGATCCATAACATCCTGATCATTAGATAAAACCCACCATATCAAGACAGTTTTAGTACTGTTATATTACTGTCGCCATTGATCAATATGTGCCCGGAAATCATGATATCATCAATCAATTTAGAAAGTTTGAACTGTAGTTAATAATGATATTTACCATGCAATATTAATGCTTACTAATACCGCCATGGTAAATTCCGGTGACTGACTCATTAATTGACTTACTAACTTACTGACTTACTGACTTACTGACTTACTGACTTACTGACTTACTGACTTACTGACTTACTGACGTACTGACTTACTGACTTAATGACTTAATGACTTACTGACTTACTGACTTACTAACTGACCACACGCCCTCTTTCCCCAGCTGACCTCCACCTATCTTGCTCAGAAGAAGAGTTTGATAACTACGATAGTGGAGACAGTGATGATAAAGACCCACCTACCATGCAGCGTGCACCGCCGCCCCCAGCTGGTAACAGCACACTGCAAGGTAACGACTCAGTCCCCACTCCAAGCAGACCGCCCCGAGGAGAGGCTAAGGAGCCTGCTCCTCAGAAACCCTCTGTTCCTGTCCCTCTTCCTCCCCGCAGACCTACATCTACTCCTCTTGCTGGTAGGTTTCCTTGTCAAAGTGCTGTAATTCATTGTCTGACACTTATTCTAGCTTAACTGCAATCTCCTGATTATAATTCCTAACTCAGTAAATATATTTTATCAAATTGACACCCCTTCCTCCCACTCAAGGACCAGTGGCTGCACTAGTAGCTGCACCAGTAGCTGCACCGGTAGCTGCACCAGTAGCAGGAGCCTCCTCTGCTCCCCCACTTCCCCCCAGAAACCCCTCTCTCAAGGGAACCTCTGCAGCTGCGGTTGCTGCTGCTGCCTCCACCCCTCCTCGTGCTCGATTCTTCACCAAGATATTCAGCGGCTGCCCTCTCAACATCAACTGTGCTGGCGTGAGTTCGTTTTCAGGTTACAATTTAACCAAGGTGATTTAGCGGCCCAATCTGGTACACTGACAGTCTATTGTAAAGTTGTAATACTTAACAGTGTGACACGAACTTGGTAGTGGCCAGAGTGCCACTTATCCATTACTCTTTTCCTGGTAAAGGAATGTTCAGGGTCTCTCATTCACAAGCTCACAGAATGTTATTAAACTTACTAATCAATACACAATCCACATTCCACTTCACAACGGAAGCTTGTTTTTAAGTAATATATAACTGCTTTATAATGTAACGGTTGACGTAGTTTTCATGTCAATTTTGAAGTCATGGTGGTTTTAACCAAACTAGGTACAACCGTTTAAAGTGGGTAAAAATGGATAATTAAAGTGCTTAACGCGGAATGTAGGATTGTGGGAGCTCACTAATATCCAGTGCAGGAATTATAACAATACAATTACAGGGTCCCTCCTGACACTGTTCTAGTGTTCTTACTGAAACTCAATCCTCAATCTGTGTCTGTAGTATTATATCATTAATTTTTACCGTTCTAATTCTCATTAGAGAGAGTGTAGAGCTCATGTTATTAATTAGGAGCCTCATACAGTAGCAACATAGGGACCATGTGTTCGTGCCGTGATTATCTGAAATATGAACCCGCCCACTGTACTACAGTGTATTAAGAGCACTGTGAGTGTTAAAGAGCACTGCAGTGAGTTTGAAATGTGGCTGGAATGTGAGCAGGATATTTGGGATCATTACATCACAACACATACACATGCTCACAACTCAGAGTCAGGCTCAAGGGAGAGTTTTATAAGATATATCGGGGTATTTGGTACCTGATCCCCCACCCCCCCCCCCCCCCCCCACCCCCCCCCCCCCCCCCCCCCCGTATATCGGGGTATTTGGTTGTTAGCAAGTAGACGCAAACACTAAATGTGTGCTCACTTAATTCTACCAATATCAATTGTCTCCTACATGTATGTGAGGTCAGTAAATTGTTACATTTTATTAAATTCCACTTTGAATAATTATTAACTTACTGAGTTACTCACAATTTTGTATAAAGAACTGAGGAACGGAAATAATATGTAATGAAGTAAATATTATGTTATGTAAGTTAATATTATGTTATGTAATTTAATTGTGTAGTGTATACTACTATTGTAACTTTGTAACTATGTGGTTGACAGGCTCGTACAGCTATACTACAGTGTGTGAGTATAAGTAAATTACTCTAATATAAGTTAATAAGTTGTAGTAATTATGTTTCGCATATTTTCAACAAGCTTACCTAGCCTGGCAATAGCACAAATAATAACTTGAGCCAAGTTATCGGTTACAAGCATGATTAAATTATTAGTTCTAGCAATAAAAAGTGAGCTAATGTAAACAAAGTACAGAATATAAATATAATGATCGTATACTGACGTAACAATACGTCAGAAGAATTCTAATTATAGCACAAACTTTATAGATTATTGATATTGCCAAGATCGTCACAACACAGCAGTTAAGAGTTGATCTGAGAAACTAATTAGTTGGTTAAGGTAGCCGGAATAGTTTCAGACTACAGATCATAGATCTCCCACCGCTACAAGACAATAGATCAGCTACAATTGTGAACTGCACTGATGTCACTAAATGTGACGTATAGTAATCCCCGGACACAGAGTCACTTGTTCCTGTGTTGTTCCTGTGTTGTTCCTGTGTTGTTCCTGTGTTGTTCCTGTGTTGTTCCTGTGTTGTTCCTGTGTTGTTTTAGTCAGGATACTCCGCCGGTACAATCATTAATTTCTGTGTATCGGAGAACATTTAATCGGTATCACTGTAATAGTCACACACTTTACACTTCTTCAACTAATAACACTAGTAACTACACTCTGCTACTCTAGTAACACTAGTAACTACACTCTGCTACTCTAGTAACACTAGTAACTACACTCTACTACACTAGTAACACTAGTAACTACACTCTGCTACTCTAGTAACACTAGTAACTACACTCTACTACACTAGTAACACTAGTAACTACACTCTGCTACTCTAGTAACACTAGTAACTACACTCTACTACACTAGTAACACTAGTAACTACACTCTACTACACTAGTAACACTAGTAACTACACTCTGCTACACTAGTAACACTAGTAACTACACTCTACTACACTAGTAACACTAGTAACTACACTCTGCTACTCTAGTAACACTAGTAACTACACTCTGCTACTCTAGTAACACTAGTAACTACACTCTGCTACTCTAGTAACACTAGTAACTACACTCTGCTACTCTAGTAACACTAGTAACTACACTCTGCTACTCTAGTAACACTAGTAACTACACTCTGCTACTCTAGTAACACTAGTAACTACACTCTGCTACTCTAGTAACACTAGTAACTACACTCTGCTACTCTAGTAACACTAGTAACTACACTCTGCTACTCTAGTAACACTAGTAACTACACTCTGCTACTCTAGTAACACTAGTAACTACACTCTGCTACTCTAGTAACACTAGTAACTACACTCTGCTACTCTAGTAACACTAGTAACTACACTCTGCTACTCTAGTAACACTAGTAACTACACTCTGCTACTCTAGTAACACTAGTAACTACACTCTGCTACTCTAGTAACACTAGTAACTACACTCTGCTACTCTAGTAACACTAGTAACTACACTCTGCTACTCTAGTAACACTAGTAACTACACTCTGCTACTCTAGTAACACTAGTAACTACACTCTGCTACTCTAGTAACACTAGTAACTACACTCTGCTACACTAATAACACTGTTTACACTGCAACTCCACGTTAAGACAATAAACACGTTTAAATGATATTTAGCACACTACAGAAGGTTCCTGTAAAGGATGTCCCTGATTATTAACTATCTGTACAGTATGTAAAGTGTACACTGTACAGTATACACTGTACACTGTACAGTATACACTGTACAGTGTATACTGTACAGTGTATACTGTACAGTGTATACTGTACAGTGTGTACAGTATACAGTGTATAGTGTATACTGTATAGCGTATAGTGTACACTGTATATTGTATACAGTGTACAGTGTACAGTGTATACTACACAGTGTATAGTGTATATTGTATAGTCTTATCTGACTGTTAACTCCGCAGGTCTGGACACATCCCAGCAAAGAGGACACATACGTGTTACTAGGAACAGAGCAAGGATTGTACACACTCAACACTGCTACTAAAGACGACCCTACTATGATTATACTCAGTAGTAAGCGAGTTATGTGGCTTAATGTGTACGATAAGAGTAACTGGTGAGTAGTGTTAGATACGGGGGGGGGGGGGTAGTGTTGGATACACCCCCCCCCCTAGTGTTAGATAGTTAATTAGTTAGTAACTATGTTAGATAGTTAGTTTATTATTGTTTATTAGATCGTTAGGTTATATTTAAATTATTATTATTAAATTATGTACATTTAGTTATTCCAGCATGTTTCCTATACTATACTAGTCCTGTCATTAGTATTTAAAACTTTGGCTGAACATTTTAAAATTAGGCCTTTTCAATCTGGAGGGTTTAAAATATGTTAAAACATTGTTACAACCATAGAATAAGGTTTGACTGTGATATTCCAATACATTATTACAAGCATTTTACTGGAATGATAACCTAGCTTCATATCAGACTGTAAATAACTGGTTCAATCACGTGATCTATCCCTTGTACTCCAGCTCAGTTACTCGGAAATGAGATAATTAGATAATTAGATAATGAGATAATTAGTCCGCCTTATGACTGGTGTAAACACACTCAGTATGGTTGGGAGCTTAATACAGGAGCCTATATACAGGAGCTTATATACAGGATTCTGTCTGTAACTCTGAGGAAATTACATAGTTAAATGTAATAGAGATGAGATCATACTTAATTTAGAATACTTGTGTAGCTCACACTCGATAGTTCACAGTAGTACATTATCTGTTGAGCTTCATTGGACGCTATTTAGTAAACATTATAAATACTTCTAATTCCCGAGCCTACGTCAGCAATAAGTAACAATAAACTAAATTAATTAACCAACTAATAGGATAATTAATTAACCAACTAATAAGATAATTAATTAACCAACTAATAAGATAATTAATTAACCAACTAATAAGATAATTAATTAACTAACTAATAGGATAATTAATTAACTAACTAATAGGATAATTAATTAACCAACTAATAAGATAATTAATTAACCAACTAATAAGATAATTAATTAACTAACTAATAGGATAATTAATTAACCCAGGCTGGTGACGATATCAGGAGATCACACGTACGTGTACTCACACAACCTGCTGCTACTACATGAGAATGTTAAAGACGAGGAGAGACAGGTGGTGAGGAAGAAACTAATGGCCAGCCAGAGACTTAACGAAACCAGGGGAGTCAAGAAAGCGTGTGCTGTCGGTAAGTAGTTTTATATTACACCGTCAATAGTCAGCTACATTATTTACCTTCCTAGAGTTATTTATATTAGAATTTAGGCTATTCGGGCTCAGCTCGCGGGGATTGTCAAACATCTTAGGAATTTGTCATGCTGAAAGCGTGGAGTATTGACCCTAGTGCAAGTGGAGTGCTGATATTTAAACGTTTCGCTTTTAAAAACAATTGACGATGTCTGTCAGTAACCACATTCTTCACAAAACATTTCCCCACATACATGCTCCTTTGCAAATACATATTTCCTCAGTCAACCCCCCATACTTGTTCCTTCACAAATATTTCCTCAGTGAACCCCTTCATACTTGCTCCTTCACAAATATTTCCTCAGTGAACCCCTTCATACTTGCTCCTTCACAAATATTTCTTCAGTGAACCCCTTCATACTTGCTCCTTCACAAATATTTCCTCAGTGAACCCCTTCATACTTGCTCCTTCACAAATATTTCCTCAGTCAACCCCTTCATACTTGCTCCTTCACAAATATTTCCTCAGTCGACCCCTACATACTTGCTCCTTCACAAATATTTCCTCAGTCAACTCCTCCATACTTGCTCCTTCACAAATATTTCCTCAGTCAACTCCTCCATACTTGCTCCTTCACAAATATTTCCTCAGTCAACTCCTCCATACTTGCTTCTTCACAAATATTTCCTCAGTCAACTCCTCCATACTTGCTCCTTCACAAATATTTCCTCAGTCAACTCCTCTATACTTGCTCCTTCACAAATATTTCCTCAGTCAACTCCTCTATACTTGCTCCTTCACAAATATTTCCTCAGTCAACTCCTCCATACTTGCTCCTTCACAAATATTTCCTCAGTCAACTCCTCCATACTTGCTTCTTCACAAATATTTCTTCAGTCAACCTCTTCATACTTACTCCTTCACAAATATTTCTTCAGTGAACCCCTTCATACATATTACATACTCCTTCACAAATATTTCTTCAGTGAACCCCTTCATACATGCTCCTTCACAAATATTACCTCAGTGAACTCCTCCATACTTGCTCCTTCACAAATATTTCTTCAGTGAACCCCTTCATACATGCTCCTTCACAAATATTACCTCAGTCAAACCCTCCATACTTGCTCCTTCACAAATATTTCCTCAGTGAACCCCTTCATACTTGCTCCTTCACAAATATTACCTCAGTGAACCCCTACACGAAAGAGTACACATGTTGCGTGCTGACCCCCTCCTCCTTCCTGCTTTACCTCTGGAAACCAGATCGTGTCAGATTTGAGTGTATAAAGTCCCTCCCTGCTCCTGGACCGGTGAGTCAACTGTTGAACTCCAATATAGGAGCACAGAACTCCAATATAAGAGCACAGAACTCCAATATAAGAGCACAGAACTCCAATATAAGAGCATAGAACTCAATTTTACAGTTGTGAGCTCAAATTTCAAGTTTCAGTTAGAGTTTGAGACTTTCAGTGAGATGATGTTAGAGTTTGAACTTTGAGAGGCATGGTAATATAATATCAGTTTTTGGAATCTGTTTTATTTTCCTCTTTGTAATAATGCTGATCTACAGGATTACAACCCACCTTTGTTTGAGACGATAATTAGGAGTGACGAACCCTTCCCCAGCATATGTGTAGCTGTTTATCAAGGTACGATAATGTAATATCACGGTAGCTTATCTATAGGTACATAATATTATATCTATCAGATTGAGTGATATCATATCACGTGGTATGACGTCATATCACGTGTGGTGACGTCATATCATGTTCAGTCGAGAGAACCATACTCTCTTAGTGCTTTTAATTATATTTTGTCTGCTCACTAACTCTGAACATAGTAATGGACCTTACAATTTGTCCATCTTCTATTGTTGTATTACCATATTTGGGCTAATTGCGTGGTAATGCATTACTAACGTCAATACTTAACATATATAGTGCAACTTAAAGGTATTTGATTATTGAAACCTAAATAATAGCTGATAAAGAACTACACTGTAACACAACCAATATCGATGATATTTTCTATGGATTATTATAAAATTACAGCTTGGGAGATCTGTAAGGAATGATCTTATATTCTAATAATAATTAACTAATTAGATAATTAATTACACAGCTGAAGGGCGGTTAGTGCTGGAGAACGTTAACATGAACGGCAGCAGCATGTGGGCAGGACAGCACCAAAACTCACAACCTTTACCTGTAAACACATTGCAACAGATTGAGAGTGACACTATACTCGTCGGATTCAACAATCAGGTTTTTACTCACTTAATTTATTTGATAATTAATCCTGAGCAGCTCTGGATTAAATTAATGTGAGATCCAATAGGACTATAAGAACCTTTGTTACATCTCTGTAACACTTCTGTAACACTTCTGTAACACTTCTGTAACACTTCTGTAACACCTCTGTAGGGCATATTTCAAAACTGGTTCCACTTGGAGGAAATTTCAGAAATGCTTTTATCAATCCAATTTTGGAAATTTTAGAATGTTTAAACTTTATACTTTGAAAATCTGCAATATTGGAGACATCAACCTACTCTATCATGCAAAAATAGCTCATTCTATCATCGACACTAAAACAATCCTCAAAAGTGTGCTCTACTTCATAACGTCTCTAGATTAGGCCTTTGCTTGAACTAAACCCAAATTTTGTGTGTTAGTATATGAGATTTCATTTTTACAGACTGATATAAAGCCCAATCAAGGAGAAAGAGCTAACATGGGGAAAATGTGGTTTAAAAAATTTTGTCACTCCGTAACAAAAAAGTGTCAAAAAGTTATCTATTCTCTTAACTACACGCCTATTGCATTCCATATTTTCTGAAGTATCTCAGTGACCTTACACTAAGATTTTCCAACATTTTCGATTGATAACATTATAATTTAAGAGGAGATATGATGAGCCAAACTTTGGTCACTCCGTAACGCTGTGTTATGGAGTGACAAATTCAAGGGACATTGTCACTCCGTAACGAATTTTTCAAGACAATTTAAATGTCTGGGAATATGGGATCGGATCACATTATCATGTATTTACCTACAAAAGACGAGGACTAAGAGGGGAGAAAGCCAAATGTGCTAACTTTGGTTTGATAACTGAAGAAAACGACCACTCTGGGGATGTCACGTTCTGCCTGAACAAGATCTTGCTGGAGAAAGTCGAAGAAATAATTCCTGGACAGATTAAGTTGGTTAAGTTCTGGTCAGATGGATGTTCCTCTCAGTTTCGGTCACAGTACACCTTCTTCATGTTATCCAAGTTTCCTTCCCACTACGACCTGGAGTGGAATTTCTTCATGGCAAACCATGGTAAGGGTGCCTGCTGGGTGGAACTATTAAACATGCTGTCTTCAGAAAGATACTGTCCAATCAGGTTGTCATAAATACACCAAAGGAGTTTGCAACCTATGCTGACAGTCTTCTCAAGTCAATCAATGTCGTGTATGTTGGAGATCTAGCCTCAGGTATGGAAGAGGAGTGCAGAAGGAAAGCAAGACCAGTTCCAGGAACCTTGAAAGTGCACCACATTGTCCGTTCTTTCAAAGATAACAGCTGCATCCTTACCTTTAGGGACACGTCAGTTGATGGATCTTTGATAAAGAAGATAGAGTATGCCGATGAATCATCTGCTCAGACGACTTCAACAACAGTTATTGGAGAGGAGGAAACACCATCATCTTCTAACAGCTGTGAAACTTACAACATTGATCAATTCGTGATTGTTAACTGGGAGGGTGAACTTTACCCAGGAAAAGTTATTGGCAAGCCAGACAGCAGTAACCTTACCGTTAAGTGCCTTGTACCAGCTGGAAAACCTGGATCAATCTGGAAATGGCCTGACAAAGAGGACGTCCATGATTACGAACTTAGTGACGTGAAAGGAGCTATTGGTATGCCGAAGCTTTTGCCGGGAACAGGGAGAAGAATAGAGTTTGAAGTACCTGAACTTGCTTATTTGTACAGTTTATAACTTTAAACAAATAAGCCCAGATTTTTAAACATTTCATTATGATATGTCACTCTGTAACAGATTCTTAACCGAGTAATATAAATAAATATAATTTGTAGAAAGTTAAACCAATGAGACTGATTTTTATGCAGTTGTTTATATTTTTCAAACAGTGATTTAAATGTGCTGTATTTTAAGGGAAATTTACAGAGTTGTAAGCTCCAGGGTTGATTTTTTATCACATGATCGTATTTTTATTCATAATTGTGATCAAGACTAATGAATTGTACCAGATTTGATTTATTTCACATCAATAAATTTGTGTGTCTACCTTGTTTAAGTGTTATCTATCTAATTTTGAAAAGAATTCTACTATTTGGAGCCAGGAACAGGATGAAAAATGATGAAAAATTCGAGTGGAATGAGAGACTGTTTGATGCGTCACTCCGTAACAGTCACTCCGTAACAATCCCCAAAATTTTTGAAGCCTCAAATTTTTTATTCCTTAGGCAATACACACTTTTTCTTGATTAATTATTGAAGGAAAATGTCTGAAAAGTGCCTGGAAGCCGTCAAAATGCAACTTTCAAGAATATCTGAGATAAAAATTAGGTCAGAATATGGGTATACCAAAATCTGAAAATTTATCTAGTCACTCCGTAACGAAATTTCGACTTTTAATTACTCAAAAACGGATTGATTTCTCACTATTTTCTTTGGCAGATATGTAAATCTTAGGTTTGAAAAGCCTTAGAAACATAATTTAACCAATAATGAACCTGTTTTCTTGGAAATTTTTCGGAAAAAATGGGTAAAATTGTCACACCGTAACATTCTATAGTTTTGAAATATGCCCTGTAACACTTCTGTAACACTTCTGTAACACTTCTATAACACCTCTGTAACACTTCTGTAACACTTCTGTAACACTTCTGTAACACCACTGTAACACTTCTGTAACACCTCTGTAACACTTCTGTAACACTTCTGTAACACCACTGTAACACTTCTGTAACACCTCTGTAACACTTCTGTAACACCTCTGTAACACTTCTGTAACACTTCTGTAACACTTCTGTAACACTTCTGTAACACTTCTGTAACACCTCTGTAACACTTCTATAACACCTCTGTAACACTTCTGTAACACTTCTGTAACACCTCTGTAACACTTTTGTAACACTTCTGTAACACCTCTGTAACACTTCTGTAACACCTCTGTAACACTTCTGTAACACTTCTGTAACACCTCTGTAACACTTTTGTAACACTTCTGTAACACCTCTGTAACACTTCTGTAACACCACTGTAACACTTCTGTAACACCTCTGTAACACTTCTGTAACACTTCTGTAACACTTCTGTAACACCACTGTAACACTTCTGTAACACCTCTGTAACACTTCTGTAACACTTCTGTAACACCTCTGTAACACTTCTATAACACCTCTGTAACACTTCTGTAACACTTCTGTAACACTTCTGTAACACTTTTGTAACACCTCTGTAACACCTGTATAAGCTCATTCTATATAACTTTACACCACCAGGGAACGTTTGTTAACAGAGAAGGAGTACAGAAACACTCCACCAGAACCAGAAGTGCTCTTACTTACTCTACTCCTATATCCTCACTTGTCTGTTTAGAGGGCGGTGTCTTAGGTGTGTACTACATCTAATTAACATTTAATTAGCTAATTAGGTGTTTACTACATTTAATTAACATTCAATTAGCTAATTAGGTGTGTACTACATTTAATTAACATTTTATTAGCTAATTAGGTGTGTACTACATTTAATTAACATTTTATTAGCTAATTAGGTGTGTACTACATTTAATTAACATTTTATTAGCTAATTAGGTGTGTACTACATTTAATTAACATTTAATTAGCTAATTATGTGTGTACTACATTTAATTAACATTTAATTAGCTAATTATGTGTGTACTACATTTAATTAACATTTAATTAGCTAATTAGGTGTGTACTTCATTTAATTAACATTTAATTAGCTAATTATGTGTGTACTACATTTAATTAACATTTAATTAGCTAATTATGTGTGTACTACATTTAATTAACATTTAATTAGCTAATTAGGTGTGTACTACATTTAGTTATACATCTTAGCTAAGTGGACCTGAGATGGTTAATCCTTTTTATTTGTATTTCTTAGACTTTCACAATTATTGAATAGTTTTATTGTGCAATTTGACTTACTGAACTGTGTACAGGTTTTCATAAGAGTGGAATGGAGGGACGTAGTCTACAAACAGGACGTGTAGAGGCTGAGGTTTGTCTAATCATTAATTAGTTAATTACTTTGCTAATAGTTTAATTAATTAACTAAACAATCTGAGCCGTATTTAAGTGGTTTACCAGTTATACGTATATTAAATGTACACTGTGTAGTAAGGTTGTAACACTACAACTAAGTACATGTACTGATGAAATAGTGCGATGAGTAGGACAAGGCTATTTAAAGAACGGTCTCTTATTATTTGTTAAATTAATGAATGTAAAGTCATCAATTAACAATACACTCTTCTAGTGACTGACATTTTCTCGTTTCGCACATTCCTTGTCAATATGATCGTAAGTAAGAATGAGATTAATTAGTAAGATAACTAATTGGTTAATTACTTCAGGTAAGAGATGATACGAAAGTGTTCCGACTGCTGTCAAGCGCGAGAATGATAATTCTAGAAAGTAGAGTAGCAGCGGATACCACTAACAGTAGCAACTTGTACGTGCTTACCTCTAGACTCAACGAGTAGATTGATTATATGATTAGCTAATTGACAGGTTAATCAACCTATAAACAGCTAATTAGATGTGATGATATGTCTATAGTTCAAGGCGTACTTTACCGTCAAATGATAAACTTGGTTCTTTTAAAGATTCCCTATGTTGTTTGGATAAGGATGATGGTGTAAACTATTTGAGAGCTTTCAAAAAACATTTCATTTGTAGAAACTACTACTTGTGGGTTAACCGATCAAATACTTTAAAAGCTTTTTAGTATAAGCTTACCGTCTCCTTGTCCCAATTGTTTAATGTGACATGATATGAATATGTTATTAAAGTGTGATGGTTATTGTACTGCTAATGAACATTGAACAACCAACATTTGTTGCTTGAATCGTTGTACAAGTGATTTGCACATGCTTATTTGTTACAGAATTATTCACTTTATAACTCCATATTGAAAGCATCTCAATTCAGAGCAAGTGTCTGATAATGACATTTCAATTTCTTCCCTTTTAGATGGCCTTTAGTTCGAACCGGCCCCGTTAGTATATTTCTGACTTTTCATATATTGTGTTATTTTTTATTTTAATCTTTTTATCGCATTCTGAAGTCAATGTTACAGTCGCTTTGGAGACCAAGTCTTTGCGAAAATCGGTTTATTGTCTTTTTAGATTTCGGTAATGTTCAAATGAATGCAGCTAACTGTTAAGCTCATATTAACGTGACGTCATAACACGTGGTGTGACGTCACAGGGGAATACTTTAATGTTTAGTGACGTGATTGCGGTGAAATATTCAAATTTATTCTACGTTTGTTTAATTTGTAACTATTTGTTTTATTGATAACCTCTGGCTGGCTCAACTAGATATGTACGTTTCTATACACAGTACTGTTTTGGAAACAGGCCAATATCTCAAGTACCCGGCTAAAATTTCATTGCAGGGGCTAGAGTCCTAGAGTATACTTTAAGACGACTCTTGACTGTTGCTGGCTGTTGCATTTATCCACAAAATCACTAATAAACCATAATAATTCCTGAAAAACAGTAACTTACAATTCAGCAGAAGCAACATTGAGCCGCGCACTATAACGTGTTACGCGCAAATACAGCTTTATACAGAAACCACACAATTTCAGCATTTTGCTTTACGCGCTTTCTGTTTAATTTGATCCGATCTCTCAACTATTCCCCAACTGTGCTACACTTCCATGTGCTATACAAACTAGTTAACGATATTACTGATAACTTGCTGTACAAATAACAATCATATAGATATGACGACGTACAGGAAAACTTGGGATAAAGATGAATATGCTCAGAAAGCGAAAGACCGACTTGTCGCAGAAAATGGTGAGAAAACGTCTAGCTCATAACCACACTGTAACAATTAGGAAAATTCTTCAATGTCGGTTGTATATCGTGTTACGCATTAATTTTAAATACCAGATATCCTCTGCCAAGCAAGATGTATTATAGATTGCCGATGTAGGCGATGCAGGCGTTCAATTTAACTCGTAGAAGCGGTCAACATTTTTGTTATTGTGAAGTTTATGTATCACGTGTTTAATATTGTGAAGTTTATTTATCACGAGTTTATTATTGTGAAGTTTATATATCATGTGTTTCAGAACCAGAAATCGTATCGGAGAGGAAGGTTAAAAGAGAACTTCTTAGACCTAGAGACCACAAGGTATGAAATAACGTAACTAGTTTAATTTAACTGACCGAAAGCTATTACATTCTTATTGATTACGATCTGTTAACCGGGTTATTGTGCCCGCATGATCCACTCTCCAGTACTATGATTGCAGATGATAATTTCTGATTATTCTTATTACTGCGACAAATGATACTGCACTGTTAGGATAAACGACGTTTCAAAGTAACAACTTCGTATTCATGCTCGAATTATTTGTTATATAGTAGTGTTGAAAGTATTTTTTTTAAAGTCCTATAATTGCAGGTCGATCTAGACTCCAAGTTGGGGAAGACTATGGTGGTAACAAAAGACAGTCCCAGCGCAATGCAAGGAGGCTATTACTGCAAAGTTTGTGATTGTGTTGTTAAAGATTCCATCAACTATCTGGATCATATCAACGGCAAAAAACGTAAGTTTCTGGGAATCCTGATTGTTTTCATGGCTGCACGACCCAATTATCAGGGGTCCCACGGTGATCAGATCATGTCACCAATTAGTGACCGAATGGCGAATACATTAATAATAGTTTACTAAATATCGTGCCCAAACACTGAGGCTACAGCAAACAAATACTCGATCTTGCTAGAGTATGTGGAGTAAAAGCTGTCATCAAGTGGCTTGTGGATCATGTCTGTCGTAGTTTATTCTGATGAACTCTTAATTGACAGCACCAAAGACCACCAATGATTTTACTATTTTTATAAATTATTTTTCAGATCAACGAAATTTAGGAATGTCGATGAAAGTAGAGAGATCAACTTTAGAGCAGGTCCGAGCCAGATTTGATAAAAATAAACGAAAGAGGGAGGACGATGAGAAAAATAAAGTAAGTTTATATTTCTGTTTTTACTTCTCATTCAGAATGCACTGTAACATTCAGAATGCACTGTAACATTCAGTTTACTTATTTATTTGTATTCCATAATAATGAAATGTCCCCCACCTAGGCGGAGGACTACGACCTTGAAGCTCGAGCTCAGGAGCGACAAGAGGAGGAGGAGCGGCAGAGAGCACTGAAACGCCAGCGAAAGAAGGACAAGAAGCGGGCCGTGGCCGGGGCGGGGGAGGAGGAACTGGATCCTGAACTTGCTGCAATAATGGGGTTCGGCGGCTTTGGAAAGTAGCCGGGAAACAATTTAATGCCTTGATCAGAAACGTACATGGTACAAGTGTCGAGCACTTCATGTTAAAGCTAATCTGGTGTTAATTATGCTAATATGGTGTTAATTATGCTAATCTGGTGTTATTTATGCGTTTAACAATCATCTCAACAGAGGAATATAATTTCATGACCAGTTTAATCGGTTGGGACTGCAACGAACAAGTACCATATTTAATCTTTAACCAGTCGAGATTTTCCTTTTTACCTAATCATGTTAATAGACTCACATGTGAATGAAGTTATCTGAATATTTACAACAATTCGCTCTTATGATACCAACATGAGATATCCGAGTTTTGTTTTTGTTGGCGGTGAAAAATATAAAAATACAGTTGTTCTAAATTTAATGATAAATCCAAGAGTTGGAAGAAAAAGTTCTGGATTTTCCCAGACAAACCTTATCGAAGGATTATAATTCCTCGATTAATACAATTAATTAACCAACCAGTTACTCACAGCTCATTTTCAAGTCAACTAATTTTCAAGATCATGAATGATGACCAGGCCGATGAGCAGGAAGTTTTACTCTCAATATACGAGGACGACACCAACTTCAAGCAGATTAAAGACACAGTGTACTGTTACAAGTTCATCAGTGAGGAGAATGAACTAAAGAGTATTATGATACAGGTACCCCCCTCCCCTCCCCCTCCCCCCCCTCCCCCCCCCCCCCCCCCCCCCCCCCCCCCTTCTTGAATGCTCTATTTATTTTTATCTGTTGGGTTTGCTGATATTACATAGTATTAGAGGTAATGGGATGGGTTTGCTGACATTACATAGTATTAGCGGTAATGGGATGAAATCTAACATCTTCTATTTTCAGATAACGTGGCCAAAAAAGTACCCTGAGTCCGAGAATGCTGTGGTAGATCTTAACAGCTTCTTCAACTCACATATTAAGGTTAGTGCTTACTCCTGACTCACATATTAAGGTTAGTGCTTACTCCTGACTCACATATTAAGGTTAGTGCTTACTCCTGACTCACATATTAAGGTTAGTGCTTACTCCTGACTCACATATTAAGGTTAGTGCTTACTCCTGACTCACATATTAAGGTTAGTGCTTACTCCTGACTCACATATTAAAGTTAGTGCTTACTCCTGACTCACATATTAAGGCTAGTGCTTACTCCTGACTCACATATTAAGGTTAGTGCTTACTCCTGACTCACATATTAAGGTTAGTTCTTACTCCTGACTCACATATTAAGGTTAGTTCTTACTCCTGACGGTGCATATTAAATTCAGTTCTCTTTCTATGTGATAAACATAAAACGGACCCTCGTACTACAGTAAAACCTCAATTTATCGCGTACTACAGTAAAACCTCAATTTATCGCGGGGGAAAGGAAACAGTCGCGATAAATCGGGGTTTTACTGTACCGTGTAACTGTAATAAGACTACCAACGTGCAGTTACTGGTGCGAGCAAGGTCCCTTACGTAAAGTTAACAGTGTTCATTAGGTAAATATTTAGTTAACAGTGTTAGTTAACAGTGTTCTATTCTGCAGCCACACGAGAAAGTAAAGATCCTGGGTAAGATTCGTTCTCAGTACGATGACTGGTCAGGAATGGCGATGACTTTCAACATTATCAACTATGTGACTGATAATCTAGAGGAAATTAGAGCGCTGGTTAAAAACGAAAACGTCGTAACGCGAGAGGAGAAGGTTTCTAATTAGTCTAAGTAGTTAATCATGATTACTGGGTGCTCACTGTTTGCATCCGTAATAAAGTACAGCGTTATTTTCCACACGTGTCCATTTACTGTTTACCGGCCGCGCGTGATAATATTAATGTCAATGAGACACAACGTGTGGCAAAATTATGCTGTTTAGCTTGTGTTATAGCTACCGTTGATTTTGTAATTGATCATTTTTGTCTTTGTCAGGAAGCCATCGCTTTAGAGAAGAAGGAAAAGGAAAAACTTGCTTCAACTAAAGGCATGACGAAAGGTCAAAAAAGACGTTTTTACGACAAATACGGCAACATAGATGCGGACGACAAGCCGAGGGGTTGGGACTGGGTCGATGTTATCAAACATTTGAGTAAAACTGGAGCCGGGAACTGAAGCATTATTGTAAATATTTTTAATTTATTCACAACTGATATTTTTGTAAATGCTGGATAATGGTCAAATCTAGAATATCAATCGTGATTGGTTTGCAAACATGAAACGTTATAAACTAAAAAGATAGTTTAATTATGTTGGATGTGGGACCCGTATAAAACTCACTTCTAACTTTCTGGATATCAGTTGATTTTAAAAAGTAGGCGTGACCAAACTGTTGGTGCATTTTGTGCCTATGACTAGGCCTAAATAAATCCGCAGCCACTAGTTAGAGATTCACTATTTTAATGTCATATTGATGTGTATTGTGTATGTCTGGAAGGATCCTTGACTTGTTGGTTAAAATAACCTACCAAGACGCGCGCCGAGTTGGACTCGTCGACGGTCTTTGAAACAAATATTTTACGAGTATTACCCGTTAATCCAAAACATAATCCCACATTATATTCTAGAACCAGACTAATTGTAATTGTGCAATGCCAAATGCACCATGTTAGCACTCTGATTTTGGATTGGCTCCCCTGGGCCGGCTAATCCAAAACTTTTGTTACTACTAGTTGAGTAGTACTCTTACTCTTAGTCTTACTGTTTCCGACCGCTCCCACTAAATCACTCGCCCCAATTTTTTAATTTTGTGAAAAGGCCCTGAGGGTATACAATATAAGAAATCAAGTTTGGTGTATTTTTGGACGCCTATTCCGAATCACCCCTATGACGTAGGGTAAAAATGCTTCCCTGGAATTTGTTCTAAACATTTTTTGTTAAATTGTCGAAAAACTTTTTGGATGATGATTAATCACTCTACTGTCTACACTTTTTAAACACGTCCTCTAGGTGGCTCTGAATGACTATTCGAAACCCTATAAATATAATCTGATCCCAACCCTAACCCAATCTCTAACTGAAGCATATCAATATGCTGAAACCCTGACGAGAAATTATAATTATATTATATGGTCATATCACGTGACCGTGAAAAACTGTCTGGATCACGTGATATGACCGTATTATTATCAAACTTTACACAAATCCAAAGTAGTTACTAAGAACATCCTAAAGACCTGATATGATAAGTCTACTTAAAAGACTTGTAGAACTGAAAACTTACTATAAATACAAAAAAAGGAACTTAAAACTGAACTTATCAAAATCAAAAATTATGCAAAAAATTGAACTTAAAACTGAATTTATCAACTAATCAAAAAATGACCGTATAAAAAAATGTATCTAATTTCTCGTTATATATTACCTGAGGACCCCAGGCTATTATGTTCATTAACAATATAGATTTGGCGGAATGACAGGCTGAGCGCGGCCCAGTAAGTTATATAAGGTTTTAGCATATGCTTTTGTTATGGATTCATGGATTGTGTTCAGATTATAGGGTTAGGGTTTCGGTTGTAGCGCGATGCCAGATGCACTACTAGTAGTAGCAAGTATGTACTAGTAGTAGTACTACATACATTGTACTAGTGACTAGGCCGCGCCGCGCATCAAACAATGCTGCTCGTAACTTACTGGGCCGCGCTAAGCCTGTCATTCCGCCTAATCTCTATTCTATGTTTATGAAAATTATAGCCTGAGGTCCCCAGGAAACTCGTAACCACCTTCAGTATATCGGCATGATGCACCACTGGGCCTCGCCGAGCTGCAAAGGATTGACATCGTGAATCAGGGGTGTCGGATAGTCGTTCAGGACTTGTAGGTTTACAACCTACCAGGACGCGCGCCGAGTTGGACTCGTCGACGGTCCAATATATAGAACAGATATTTTACGAGTATCACCCGTTAATTCAGGACCAGCTAGAGAACGTAGTCAACGTACGGTTGAAAAATTCACGCGACAGTCGATTGTAGAGTGATTAATCATCATCCTTTTGCATGTTGGACATGCGCATCCATTATCCAATAAGGGGCCATCTACTTAGGACGTCTGGCAAATAGGGAGGGGGTTTCAGAATTTCGGACAGGGTGACTGGGAGGTTTGAGGTTTCTGAAAATCCGGAAATTTTGGTTGACAGATGTTACTCGTCAAAATTTCTTCGAAGTAGCGCGTGCCGCTTTCTTCTCGAAATATGGCCCGATGGCAAGTGCTACGAAGTAGCGCGCGCCGGGCCAGATCATTAACAATGGTCAAAAATGTTGGCAGAATTAACGAAAAAGTTTATTTCAACTCTTTGACACTAATTTAAATTACTCTGTATTAGTTTAGATCCCTGTATTTTGAACGAGATCTCGTTCAAAATACTTCGAAGTCCCCAGCAATTCTACTGGCTGGGCGTATTAATACAGGTACGTGATCGCGTCTTCACAGCATGTACAAGCTCGCGCGCGCTCGTAAGTTTATTGCACGCTTCGAACATCCCAAGAATGCGATTGCATCACGTGATACAATTCAGCCAATCAGAGGACAAGAATCCGCAAAGTCAAAGCTCAAAGCTGCGCACTATAATTATTAGGCCCAAAATAAAACTTTTTGGGATAACTCTAAATAACTAAAAACTACAATGTCCCTGGGGCTAATTTTCCTCTTGGGGAGGAAAAGTTATTTTAACATTTACAAGGCGAACATTTTGCAAAAAACCGGAAGTCTCTATCTCTTTTACTTTTGAAGTTAGGCCCCAGCCAGTAAGGTTTCATGGGAGGGGCTCTGGATAGTCATAGTATAGAGCATAGTCATAGTATAGAGCAAGTCGGTGAGAGTGAGAGCTGTCCCCTTGAATGACCATCTAGAAAGGTCACTGAGGATGGCACAAGCTCACGTATTCAAAGTTTTATTCCCAAAGATAGCTTTGATAAACGGAAAATCATATCAGAATGTAATGAACAGAGATTTTGGAAGATTGTTGAAAAAAAATTTCTGCCATCCCCTTGACCGCAATTTCGCGGTTTTGACTAAAATTTTGACCAATGACCAATTTAACGGGTGATACTCGTAAAATATCTGTTCCATATATCCAGGACCGTCGACGAGTCCAACTCGGCGCGCGTCCTGGTAGGTTGTAAACCTACAATGACCAATCAGCGAGGTCGGTGAGAGTGCCACAAGTCGCCATCAATTGGTACTGGAATGTGGAAGCAGTATGTCTGATGTCCGGAGAAAACTTTGATGCGATGAGGATGGCACAAGACACGATTAAGCTAGGTACATAAAATCCTATTCCCAAAGAAAGCTTCGATAAACGGAAAATCATCAGAATTGAGAATATAAAAAG